CACTGCTTGTTCCTGAGAAACTCATTTCCTCAGCTCTCTCAACCTCCTCCCTCAGCAAATATTTGTCTGATACGTTCCCGAGGATAAAATTGGTTTGATCCCAGAGCTGTTCGTACAGTAAGAGTGGAGAGGAGCCTGGGCTTGCTCACCCATGTCTTCGCCCTGAGCCTCAGTTTCCCCTTCTGCAAAGCTTGGATCAGATGGTGAGCCCCCCCCCACTTCCTTCTCATTTCTGGACCCTGTTGAGGCCTCCGCCAGTCCCCAGATGTGCTTTGGGCTGCAGGACCCCCTGAGCTTGCGAGCCTGGAGAGCTCCTTACTCTGCAGCCTCCTCCCTGGCCTCCCTGCCTCCAGCCTCACCCTCCTCATCTGAATCTCCTACCAGCTGCTGAGTTAGCCTAAACGGTAAACCCGACCACGTCTCTTTGCAGCTGAGAACCCTGGTCAGCTGGGAAGCTTTGGGCCAGCACAGCCTGATGAAAGGGCAGCTCTGCGGGTGTGGGGCCCTGACAGCTGGCGTTTTAAAGTCCCTCAGGAGCTCTGCTGCGCCCTAAGGGCTGTAGACAGGCCCCCAGTGAGGCCAGCCTGCAGGGCCTTTCCTGCTCTGTGTCCTGCTCCCCCCACCACACTCCCCAACTTCCCATCTTCCCAAAGCGGCGGTTCCTTGTACTTCCTCTGCGCTTTGCTGCGCTCCCCTTCCCTTCCTCCTCCCTGCTCCCTGGCCCGGGGCCTCCTTGCCCCTGTGCTCTCCTGCCTCCCGCCAGGGGCCCCTATCTGGCCAGGCACTCCAGAGGTCAGGGTCTGCCTCCCGCAGCGGGGGGCAGGCGCCCCGGGGCCCTCGGAAGAACTCACTGCACCAACATGGTTTGGGGCCTGTGCCTGGTGGGTCTGTGCTGACCTGGGGCCTTCCCTCGTGTTTGCTGAGCACAGACGTCCTTCTCAGAGTGACCCAGACTCCAGAGTCTAGGAACTGTTCCCACCAGCAGGCCACGCCTTGCCTGCTCCACCCCACACAGGCCTTTCCGGAAAGCTCCCCGACCCACGAACCACGGAGACATTTCCTGACCGCCCATCCCCCTCAGAAGTGGAGCCACATCCTGGGCTCGGCCGGGCAGCCTTTTTGTCTCCTGGGCAGGGCCCCCGCGGGTGATGGTTCCCTGGGCCCCTTGGTCTTTCAGTGGTTCCTCTTTGCCCTGCGTGGCGTGTAGGAAGGTCGTAATTCCATTCCTTCTTCGGGCCTCTGGTGCTGGGCGTGGGAGGGCCCGCACGCATGCAGAGGTCGGGCCCAGGCTGTTGGTGCGGGCTGTGGGTGGCGGCCGGCGGTCCGGTACCCCACCCGCACTGTCAGCCGATTAGGGGGGAGCAGATTATGGGGGAGTGCAAAGTGGGAATGGGGGGGCATGTGTTCTGACGCAGGAGCGCTTTTCTGTCCCAGCTTAGCCCGCTCAGGAGAGCCATTCTCGTCCCTTCCCAGCAAGCTGGGGGCCGGCCCCGCGGAGGGTCTGCTTCCTTGCTGATATTCCTGTTACCCGGCCCCCCGCCCCCGAATCCCCACGCTGTAAAGGAGGCCCTGGCACCAGTGATCTTGGGGCACCCGGGCCTGGAGGGTGGGAAGAAAAATCACCCCGACCTGGTCAGGGACAGAAAGGGCTTTCTGCATGATGCAACTCACAATCTCCTTTTGGGAAGAAGCTAGCTTTCCAGATAAATGCAGTGTTAAAAATCAAAACCCAACCCAGTACATTTGAAGCCCTAATTAGCTTCGTTAAGCGATTCGGGAACCGGACAGCACCCCAGGTAGCAAGCAGAGGGGAGCTCCCAGGAGTTGTACAAAATGGAAGGTTTTTCTAGGAAAAAGAGTGCGGCAAGATGTTATTAGCACAAGAAAAGGATCTTCTAGGCGAGCACACTAGACCTTGGGAGGAGGAGGAGCAGGGGTCTTATGCAGGTTAGCCCTGCTTCCTCTGGGGGATGGGCTGTGGCCGGTTCCTTTATTGGGCTGATTGGATCATTCCTGACTGACGGGTTAGGACTGCATTTCTGGGGGCGGGGGGGCGGTTGGAACTGTAGCTAGGTTAGGGATGAAGGCCCAGTTTGGGGACTCGGCCTAAGTGATACCAATTTGGGCCTGCGATTTTGATGTAGGAAATGTGAGGGTTTGAAGCTGACAGCCAATAAAGAATTCTTGACACACGTTCGGTGCAAAACGGTTTTATTAAAGCAGGAGGATAGGACCCACAGGCAGAAAGAGCCGCACCAGCGTCGTGAGGAATGGCCCGTTATTCACTTTCAAGTTGGAAGGGGTTAGGGAGAGCATAAGTCTCTAAGGAATTTTGGAAGCAAGGTTTCCAGAACCTTGAGGGGGCTAGCTATTGTTGGGAAAAGGTCATTTATTAATGTCTAATAAAACCTGAGTCATGAGACCCTTCAGATATATATTGTGGGTCATCCACTTGGGGGATGACTGCCAACATGTATCTTGGGGGGTAGAGTTAAAGGAAGTTTCCAAAGGAATTTTCATACGTTACAGTAGACTCCCAGGATCCTGGGGCTCCGCTAGGATTGCCTTTTGCCCTAGCAGAGCAGTAACGTCGAAGCAGCTGAGCTCCTAGAGGAATGTCACTCTGCCTGTTTCAAGGACTTATCAGTGGCTGTAGGTAGTTTTTCTTTGTAACAGCGGGTTTCTGTTAAATGTTTAAGAGTTAAGAACTGGTCTGGGAAATTAGTTGCCTACCCCCATGTTACCTACCTCGAGGTCGTAGTGACCTTTATAACCAGGCATTCTCTTCTACCTGTGTCCACTCGACCAGTGATCTAACCACTTTTTTTAAGATTTTATTTATTTATTTTGAAAGATTTTATTTATTTGAGAGAGGGATAACAAGAGAGCGCACAGCAGGGGGGAGGGGACAGGGAGAAGCAGGTCCCCCACCCAGCAGAGAACCCGACATGGGGCTCGATCCCAATCAGGACCTGAGCTGAAGGCAGACGCTTAACTGACTGAGCCACCCAGGCGCCCCTAGATTTTATTTATTTATTTGAGAGAGAGAAGCAGACTCCCCGCTGAGCAGAGAGCCCGATGGTCCCAAGACCCCAGGATCATGACCTGAGCCGAACCGACTGAACCACCCAGGTGCCCCCACTTTTTTTTTAATCCCTACAAAGATCTCCACCAGGAGAGGTCTTTGAGTGGCCTTGCTTTGACTTTTGCAACAAGTTCAAAAAGACGTTAGGCAAAAGCCACACGCTTGACTAAATTTTATGAGGGGTGGGGGGAGCATCCTCTTTTAGCAAGAAAGGTGACTCAAGTTTGAGAGGACCAGCGGGGATCAAAGCCCTGAAGGTGTCCTGCCCCCCCCCACCCCCATGACTCCAGGGAGGCCCTCTCCTACAGAACACAGGCCAGCCCCTCCCGGCCCCCAGCCAGGTCTTCACTCAGGAGGTCTGACGGACTCGCCCCTTCAGCAGGCTGCTCTGCGCGGGCTCTGATCCTGCCTTGTCCTTCGTCTGTGCTCCGCCTGCTGTAGCAGGAGTCAGGAAGCCGCCTCCCTACCCTTGATGCCTGCCCAAGTTCCTCATCCCCCACACTGACGGGTGAGCCCTGGGCCTGCCAGCCCCCGGAATCCCCCAACCCTGTCGGCCTCCTCCTAGTAATCTCCCACCCTCTGAGCCCCACTAACTGCTCCTGGGCCATCCAGGCCGGCTCTGCTGTGTTGGGAGCTAAGCCAGTGTCCCCCCCTGTTGCGACAGTCGTGAGCCCTGGTGTGACAACCCTTAATACCCTTCCTTTTCACCAAGTGTCACAATGGGCCTCTGACACCCTTTCCTGGTGCTGGTGAGGTCCCTGGTGCGGGATGCCCTCGGGGAGGCTCCGCCCACCTGCTGGGGACCTGCAGTCTCATCCTAAGAGGGACTTGCCCTGCGCAGCAGAGTGGGCTGGCAGCAGAGTGGGCTGACCTTTCCCTGTTCCCAAACGATCCCTTCCAGGAGACCTGGGAGAGCCAGTGTGTCCAAAGGAAAAAGGACTGTCGTACGCAGCTGCTCGCGGACAGTGCCAGGCTGGGGCTGAGCCCGCTGCGCGTAGCTGGCTTCACCTCCCCCCCCACCCTGACCCCCCGAGCTCTGTGCAGGGGTTCCCTGGGCAGCCAGGCCCTGCAGGCATCCCAGCAACAGCCGCCGCCCCCTGCCCCCACGCCACATCTGGGGACCGAGGGAGGGGCGGCTCTGTGCTCAGGGAGTTCTGGCTCAGTCACAGCCTGCTACCCGCCCCTGCGGTTCTTGCAGACTGAGTCCTCAAGACCCGCCATCAGGAAACAGAGACAGGACTCGCGTTTGGGGTCTAGAAGTCACACGGCACCCCTGGGGCCGCCCAGCAAGGCGCAGGGAGAGAGTAAGAGTGGGCAGGGAGTTCTGGGGGGCCTGGCAGGCAGGGGGGGTGGCCCTTCACCCGGTCCCGTGGCTGGCAGTATCTGCCTCCCTGATGCTGCAGGTTTGGGGAGGAACGGGGTGGAGGTGCAAGTCCGTCCTCCACAAGGCCTTGTTCTGCAAAGCGCTACGGGAGCAAAACCGCGCTCAGCCCGACACCCCCTCACGCGGCCTTCCTCATGCTGGCCCACCAGATGTGGCCGGACAGGGCCGGTCCACCCATTCCTTACTCGCTCCACGAAGTACCCCACACGCCCCACCTGGCCCCTGGCCCTTGTGTCAGTAAGTCAGGGATGAATGACCCCGGGACACACGGAAGCACAGGGAAATGGGGGTGCACCGGGGAGTGGGCTGGGGGAAAGCTTCAGACAGGAAGTTCCGCCAGTGCATTTCTCGGGAACTGAGCCACACGCAACGGGAGGGGCAGGGCTTGCTTGGAGGCCCGACCCTGTCCGTCCCACCCTCCGTGTCAATACGAGGCTGGGCCTTATAAAGCGCCCAGAAGCCTCCCCGGGGACGGGACATTCCGTCGGCCACGCCAGCTCCCAGGAGGAAGGTGGGTCCGTGTCCAGCACCATGACCGAACTGGAGACAGCCATGGGCATGATTATTAACGTCTTCGCCCGCTATGCGGGTGTGGAGGGCAACAAGCAGAGCCTGACCAAGGCGGAGCTGAAGGTGCTCATGGAGAAGGAGCTCCCGGGCTTCCTGCAGGTGAGGGCGCAGGGCCTGGGGGGGGGGGCACGCGGGGAGGGTCAGGGAGGACCCTGGGCCATTGGGCAGGAGAAAGGAGGGCAGGGGAGGCTGAAGGGGCTGCCCCGCTGAGCTGCCCCCCCCCCCACCGCAGGGCTAGAGCAGGTGGAAGGGGGAGGCCACCCGCCCAAGACTGGATCCGCTGTCCTAGGGGCTGAGGTCTCTGGGAGCGGGGAGCAGGGGTGGCCAGCTCAGTCCTGGAAACATGGAGTTGGAGCCACCAGGATTCTTTCTCTGCAGGGGCCCAGTGGGAGAGCTGGGGCGGGGGGTACAAACCTGAACCTGAGCACTGGGGATGGGGGAATCCAGGGCCATCTGTGAGGCTGCGTTTGCTGGCCCCTCAGAGCTGCACCCCTCCGAGGCTGCTGGCCACAAACACCCCGGCTCTCCCGGCTGCTTGGCCACGTCCTCCCAGCATTCCCAGGCCTGGTGTTCGTGGGGCCGGCAGGGGTGCAGATGGGAGGAGGTCCCACCTTGGCACTTATCTGCCCCGAGCCACGTGGCCTGGATGGGTCCAAGGGAGGCCCCCTCAAAACGGAGGGCCCCCTCCTGTGCCTCCCCTCTTCCTGGTCCCCTCCCCGTCCTCCCTTCCCCACCCTGCTCCTCTCCCTTCTCCACCCGCCAGCTGCCTCTTCTGTCCCCTCCTCCCCTTTCCCCTCCCTCCCTCCCTCCTCCCCTTTCCTCCTCCCCCTCCCTCCCCTGTCCCTCTCTCCCTCCACTTTCACTCCTCCCCTCCCCTTCTCTCCCTCTCCCTCCCTCCCCTTCTCCCTCCTCCCCTCCCTCCCCTTCTGTTCCTCTCCGCTCCTCAGCTCCAGCTCCCCTTCTTTCCCACTCCTCCCCTCCCCCTCCGGCCTACCCCCTGGCGCCACCAAACCCCACCTACCTGCCCTCTAATGGATCTACCCTGAGCTGGTTCTTGAAAATGGAAGCCTAAAATTTCAGTCTTCAATTCAAACACACTGAGCACTTCAGTATGTAAAGTCAGTGAGCATATAGATCTTTAAATGAAGTTCTTTTGTTTTTGTCTTTTATAAATGTGTTTGTGGTAGAAAATGTAAAAATACAGAAATGTGGAGGCAAGAAATGCCCCCCAACACACTCTCCCTCTTCCTTTCAGCCTTTTCCCCAGTCAAAAGCTCAAAGCTGATGTGCATGAAATTCTAAATATGCAATTTACTTTCTTTTTGAACTTAATATCACAGCAAACAGTCTCACACCCTGATGCTCACTGAACACCCCTGACCAGTGGGGAATTGGGCGTGGGTGCAGGTGTTCTGACAACCAGCCAAGTTTGAGTCTAACCCCAGGGGATTTTGAGCCCAAGGTTAGGGGTCACCGGAGGGGGCAGGGCCAGGTGGTCCGGGGAACACAACTTGAGAACCAGTGGCTAAGCCTGGGATCCTCACTGAAGCACTTGGTAAAAGGTGGGCTTCAGGGGCGCCTGGGTGGCTCAGTTGGTTAAGCGACTGCCTTCGGCTCGGGTCATGATCCTGGAGTCCCGGGATTGAGTCCCACATCGGGCTCCCTG